GTATAAAACTGTAAATTATAGTGTCCGTCCAAAAATTCTTTTTTACTTATAGTGAAAACTACCCTTGGATGATGGTAAGGTAGACTAAAAGATTTAGGAATCCAAAGTACAACATATAATAAGTACCCTGTATCAAGATTGATGCAAAACAAGTGACATTTGACCTTTTTAGAGAGGTTTAGCAAAAAAAACTCCACCTCTGAGGTGATTTGGGTGGAAATGGGGGTTTTACCGTTTCTCTGGAACCCATTGGTCGATTTTGGTGATTGACATCTCTTTATGACCGTTAGAGCCAATAGAATCGAAGGGGAATCTCCCCTCTCACTAACATGGCACAACAAAAAGGTGGGGGCTTCGCACATGTAGTTTTGCATCAGAGCGAACCTACACTCTAGCTCTGAAATCTAGAAACGGAAAAGCAGTTTTATTGCTCATGGATTATCAGAAATCATTTCAAAGGGACACAGACACATTGGATTAACCTATGGATTAACTTCAGCAGCGTTTTTATCGTTTTAATGCCATTGAAGACCACGTTTGACCAGACTAGGATACAAGGTAAACCATGTTAGCATTTTTAGCTACCTAGCGCCACATGTTTTGATGTTTGTTTTTGTTTATAAAGTCGTGATTTCGTATAATTGAGTGATAATGAGGGTACCCTTCGATTCTGTGTCACCTCACGATGTGAAACGATGTCATGGATGTGCAGAAAAGATAAATAATAAGGTTTTGTGAATGAATTTCGGTGCAGTAATCTGTTAGCATTTTTCGCTCGTTGCTAATTCAGAGGCTCAGCGTTAGCATTGTGGGTTTTATTTTGAAAAAAAAAAAAAAAAGATCAGTTAGATGAGTTTCTTCCCATTACATGGATATAAAACATTCATAGTTTATTAAATGAACATGCCCTCAGACACTGTTTCCTGCAAGATGTTGCGGCAGTGCCCCGGTACCGGGGTCTCTCGGGCTTAACAGGTTTAAGATGCCCTCACGAATGGCCCGATGTTGTTACGATCAGAGCCGAATTTGAACATTTCCTTTATCGTGTGTCCATCGGGTGTCAATTTTGGGACAGTGTGACAGGGGCTTTAGTAAAAACACCAGCAGAGTGAGGTCGCCTATTGGTGTCAAAGCGCAGAGTCATCACCGGTTTGAAATTCTGATGAGATAGAGCAGCGGTTTTCAAAGTGTGAGGCGCGGGTTTTCCACATTGACTTAGATCAAAAGCAAGTGCCGGTCAAGGCTGCAGCCAGAGGATGATCTGCGTTCCTGTGTGCATCAAAGACGCAGACTCATTGTTCCCACTAAAGTAGGGGTGAGTGTAATAAGGAGGCAAAGTTGACGTTCAGTGTGTTGCCGGGAGCATATAAGGATGTATCCACGATGTTGAACATTTCAAAAATGTTAAAAAAATATGTGTTGAGAACACGGCGTGCGAAAATATACGGGTCGTGCTGCAGCTAGATTTGCCTGTCCTCTGTAAGAAGGTGTCGGCGACTGACATGCAAGGAAGAACGGCTGTCCACAGGCTGTTCCAACTTTAACAACTTTATTAACTTCCAGGGTAGTGAATTGAACATGCTATTGTAATTGGGTGTGTGGTATATTTTCATGCACGCACACGCATGTTCCACAACACACAAACTGAACAACTCTCAATTTTCCGATCGCTACCAGTGTCCTTGCGATTGTTGTTATAACAACAAGTGCACGTTACTGATGCAATATGGTTGAGACTATTCGGGCTTATTCTAGAGGGGTGCAAGGAATAGTCCAAGTAGTGGGGGAGTTGTATACAATATGTTTAAAACATAAAGATAAAAAGATTTAAAAAAGTTATTGTTTAATGTTTTAAGGAGGTGACGCTACTCAGCCAATCAAATCGGTGCAGTCAGTGAGTCAGCACGATAGATTCAAACACACACACACAGAGACGAGACAAGAGGAGAGAAACAGTCTTCATTTTCTCTTACTGGACCTCTTTGAAATGCAATTGAATACCCCTGCATTATAGCAACAACAACAATAATAATAATAATAGCAATAATAATTGGGAGGGGGGGCGCGGCTGTTCTTATGTTCTCTGAGGGGAGGCTCACCTTCCCACACTTTGAAAACCCCTGAGATAGAGGATATGCGTGTGTGTGTTTGTGTGTGATGTGTGATTGTATTTTTCAATGTGAAGGGACCTTAAGAGAAGAAGAAAAATATATGCATGAATTCGCATATTTCCATTTTTCTTCTTAGAGTAAGACTCACTTTATTAACTACTTGCCAACTTTTCTATATTCCAAACCATTCCCCAAGGACCTCATTACTCACTTTTTAACATATTATCATTTTACTACCTTCTATGGTGGCTGACAGGGGCAAACACGCTACAACGGCCCAAAACACTGACATTAGGAGAAACGTGCTGCACTTCCAAACTTGACTTGACAACTTGCAGAGTTTTTTTGATTGACAGTGTTTTGTATTCACAGTGGGGTTATTCCAGAGTTTTGTTATTTGCAATGATTCGTTTTTGCAGCACTTTTTGTAAACGCTGCGAAAGTTTCGTCAAGTTGCTGAAGCTGTTTCTTCATTTGCATGTGTTTTGGAACATTTGTGTTTTTATATTTGCATTTTTTTTTTTTGCGGTGAGTTTTTTCCTAATGTAAGTGTTTTGAGCTGATGCAGCACATTTGCACTTGTCAGTCACCGTACCTGCCCAGTCTCTGAATAAAACACTGTTTCAACCCATTTCCAATGTATTAAACCCCCACTCACACCAGAGTGAACAGCCTCAACACACACTCACAGAACAGATGGTGCTAAAAGCTTAAAGAGCTGGTGACTACTTGCACATTAAACATAATTAAATCAAACACTTTTATTTTTCATATGAAATGGTACGCACAGCTCCAGTATGAACACAAAACAATATTATCTACCCAAATGCATTTAACATTTAATGTTGTGTTACCGCAAAGAGCTGTTAAAGAATTTGCCTGAATGCAAAATAAATTAAATCATGTTTTAAATGGGCTCCACCTGGTCTTCATCATTTGTGAAAACAGCTGTTTAATATCATCTGTGGCTTTAGAAGAGCTTTGTCAAGTCAGAAAAAAAAAAAACATTTCAACTGATTTATGACTGAGAGCTTGTGCTACACATTTATGGGCGTTACATTTGAAAGATGTGGGCATTTACCAGGCAGTGAATCTAATGAATCAACTTTATGTGGTTGCATTATGGGACATGTAGGATTCAGAATTTTAGGAAGTTGGCCGACACTATGGACAAAAAGTAAGGGTTTGTTGGACTCTGCGGTTTCAGTTTTCATTAAATTATTTCTAAAGTCTCTTTAATGTCTAATACATTTAATTTCCCGTTGTGGGATTAATAAAGAGTCTTCTTCTTCATCATCTTCATCTTCAAGCTCCTTCAGTGACAGGCTGCTGGTACACCCCATCACACACACAACAACTTAGACTATAATACATCGGTCTTACAATATATATATATACTATGTTAATGCTACTTATTACTTTTGCACTACCCAACACCAGTAATATAACACTGCGCAATATATACATATATACTTACATACTAGTAATTATAGTTTACTACCGTCATCATGTAGCTTTTCATTGCTTCCTACTTGTTTCACTTCATAATGCTGCTACTTATCTTTTTATACTTAGAATGTGTAGTTATTATTGGATGTTCAATTATTAATTGTAAATACTGTTTTTAATTTGTCTCTATCATTATTGTCTCTTTGCTGTAACGATGTGAATTTCCCCTCTGCGGGACTACTAAAGGAATTCTTCTTCTTCTTCAGCGACAGGCTGCTGGTAGACCCCCCCTACACAACAACTTAATATAACACATCGGTTTTGCAATATATGGTAATGCTACTATTTTTTAGCTCGAGTCCTTTCTTAAATCAAAAACTATTACTGGAGTCAGGACTTGAAGTCAGTCAAAATGCAATGCCAGCTTTCAGAACCTATTATGCTTTTAATGCAGAAGCACAGAGCAGGAAATTATGTTTAAATGTCCTGCGTACCCGAGGGCACTGACTGTAGGCTACTGTAGCTTCAGGTGCTCTTTAACTTTACACCGCTCTAACAGTGAGGTGCCTACGACACAATATCGGCTCTCATACAGCCAGCGAGATGTATTACACACTCCTGCTACTGCCCCCACATCCCAAATCCCCCCATTCCTTAACCTCCTCTCCCAGACACACACACACTCTTGCCTCCCAACATTCCCCGTTTAGAAACACAAGTCTCCATTTCACAGCAAACCAGCTTTGTTTCCACAGTCTACCCAGAGGCCCTCTTCCTCCACGCCGGTGACCTTGACAACTTGCTCTACTTCCCCATCCCAATCTGGGAGTCAATAAAAGCGTTGTTGTCTTTAATGTAGCTGCAGGAACCAGTATCTTCATTCTGGCCCAGCGTTGTGTTGTTAAGGAAGGGTGCCAGATGTGTGAAAATAGACAGATGCTGGAGTCCAGGCTTTACATGAATAATAAGAAATGCTTTCCAGAGGCTGGAGAAGAAGAGATAGAAGATAATTGATTCAATGCTGGAAATGTGTCCGGGTGGTTATTCACGCTCATTTGGAGACAAGAACATCTATTTCAAGTACCATAATTTCATGCATATGAATGTGTGTGTGTGTGTGTGTGTGTGTGTGTGTGTGTGTGTGTGTGTGTGTGTGTGTGTGTGTGTGTGTGTGTGTGTGTGTATAATGGCAGAGTATCAAACTATGTCCGTTAACAGGGCTTATGAAAACCATATGACATGCTCTGCACCTCCCCCCATTCTGACACACACATCCACGAAGCCCCCCCTTCCAAAAACATACAGTTATTTTCCTCCCTTACTCCCATGCTCACCCTACTTCTTTCTATATCCCCCTCCCTCTCTCTCTCTCCCCTCCCTCCCTGCTCTCTGGGACAATCTGCATGCACACAGCCCCAGCACAGATCTGTTTCAGCACGGTGGAGTAAAGAGCACAGCAAGACGGGGGAAAAAGAAACAGGGTTCAAATGAAGAAAGAAAAGTTCAGATAGACAACTAAAGTGGGTCAAGAAAAAAAGATACAGCTAAAAGAGACTTTGGAAAGCAGGGAATAAAAGTGTGAAGAAAGTGAGGCTGAGAGACAGGCAGAGAGTGGAGCGTTTGAGTTCTTAAAGAGAATGGGCTCCCTGGTGAGCGGTGCTTCTGCTCTTCTCTTTACGTTCCTGCTCACTTTGCTCTTTGGACTTTCTTTGGTCTTATCTCAGGATTTGAGTGAGAGGGATGCTTTGTGCAATGCAGACGGCTGCTTTGTGGTCTACTTCCAACGCAAGACCTTCCTGGACTCATGGAGGGCCTGCAAGGTGAAAGGTGGCAACCTAGCTACCATTAAACGCATGCAGGATGCCAACGATATCGCCACTCTCTTCTCCAGTCTGGATTTGCGCCACTCCCGCACCAGCGTCCAGGTATGGATTGGCCTTCAGCGCCAGCCTCGCCAGTGTTCCCCTACACGCCCACTGCGGGGTTTCTCTTGGACTACCGGTGACCAGGACACGGACTATACCAACTGGCAGAAAGAGGACTCCCCTAGTATGTGCTCGGTGCCACGCTGCGTGGTGATGGGCTACAGCACTCAGGAGCAGAGTGATAACTTCAAATGGCTGGATGGTTCCTGCTCAGTCTCTGTGGATGGGTATCTTTGCCATTATGGCTACAAAGAAATGTGCCCTGCCTTGTTGAGTGAAGGAGCAGGCAATGCCCTCTACACCACACCGTTTAACCTCCTAAGCACACTGCTAACCCATATTCCCTTTGGATCTGTTGCTACCGTGCCCTGCCCTGCTGGCACCAAGGAGGAACAGTCAGTGTTGTGTAGGCTGAAGGAAGATGGCTCAGTGGGGTGGTCCAGAGATTCCCCCCTCTGCTCCGAAACATACAACTGGTGTGACCAGAATAACGGTGGATGTGAGCATTTCTGCAGGCCGGCCGGTGTTCACTTCTTCTGCGAGTGTGCTGATGGATATCAACTGGGGGACGATGGGCAGAACTGTGAGCCGTCTGATGTCTGTCAAGGGGCCCCCTGTGAGTTTGAGTGCCTGCCCCTCTCAGATGGGTACCGTTGTGCCTGCCCTGAAGGGTACATGCTTGCAGCAGATGAACGCAGCTGTCTGGATGTAGACGAGTGCCTCCAGAGTCCTTGCGAGCAGATTTGCATGAACGCTCCAGGGACATTCGAATGTAGATGTCGGGAGGGATACCATCCTGATGAAGACGGCGGGTGTGAGGATATAGATGAGTGTATAAATGATCCATGTGAACATGCCTGTGAGAACACTCTGGGCTCTCATATCTGCCACTGCCATCTGGGTTATTCCCTCATGCCCGAGGACCCAAGCAAATGCCAAGACACTGATGAGTGCCAGATCCCCGGGACCTGCGAGCAGATGTGTGTGAATTACGAGGGCGGATTTGAATGCTACTGCGAGGAAGGCTACGAACTCATGTCTAATCACTTCTCATGTCGCAAGATAGGACAAGGAGATGAGGAACCTGCTGTCACCCCTCCCTTTCCTTGGGTGACCAACCAGCCTGGACCTCTATGGGACTACAACTGGAACCCACAGCAGGGCCACACTGACTGGCCTCCAGAGGACGAGCAGGCTCTGGACTGGCTGACCGACCCACCCAGAGTAGAGAGTTTGGATCCTGATGTCATATGGGTCACCAGTGCCCCCCAGGAAGAAATGCCCATTGATTTAGCCCTGGTCACTCCAACAAAGCAGGCTGAGAAAGAGTTTTACGATGCAGACTGGTTGGAGTGGGGGCAGAGACCTGGGTCTGACCTGGACATTTTGCCGACCACAATCTACACAACGCCTCCCCCTCCCACAAAGTCCATCCCTACCCCAGACTGGTACGACGAGGATGAGGAGGAGACCACCACGGCTCTCCCCTTCCTTTCCACCTCAACAATCTCTGAGGGAGCGTGGAATTGGTGGGCCACTTCCAGCCAGAAACCAGAAAGTACGGAAAATTCGGTCATTGACCTCAACATGCCTCCGGATTCTGGCTTCCACAATGCGACAGAAGAAGAAGAGCAGTACCACCATAAGGTAACCTCCCCAGAGGAGGAGGAGAAGGAATTAGTGGAGGTCACAACCCAAAATGTTCCCACACAGCCGACTCCTTCCCAGCCAACCAACCCAAGCGAGACCTTTGACGTCACGGTTTCTGTCCAGGAAGAGCGGGGGCAGAAGGAGAGCAGCACCTGGCTCCTGGTGGGGCTCCTGGTGCCCATCTGCATCTTCATCGTAGTGATGGTGGCCCTGTGCATCGTCTACTGCACCCGCTGTGCTGTTCATTCACGCAGCAAGAACGCCACTGACTGCTACCACTGGATCTCTGGGGCTCACGATAAACAAGGAGCTCCTAACCTCTCAGCAGGGGTCAAGACCCAAGTTTAAAGAGAGAACAGAGAAAGTGACATTTACATAAACAGACTCTGCTTCAAAGGTAAGCAGGAGTGAATAATGGAACTGGGACAAGCTAAATGTTTTACCCTCTCTGACTGTTGAACTGCCCACTCTTTGAACACATTTGGATTTTACTTTTAAATATCAACGGATCAGTTTTTTCTGAGATGGGATTGTGGTGTCTTTGATGTTTTATACACTGACCACGCAGCACAAGGCCATTGCTTACTCATTGCACTAAGACACATGATCATAAAATATAAGTGCCTTCATTATGTTTGTACAAAAATATCTGCTGATATCAGAGAATAATGTGGGTAGTCATGTATTCATTTTCAAAATGTCACACTTGAGCCAGATCCAGAACTGATGGCATTCGACCTTATTGTGAGAGCAAAACTTTACCATGAGGTTTCTAATATGCAAAATCCTCAGGCTCAGTTTTTACAATAGCATATCACTGTAGATAACTTGGACTGTCAACTGTGTTAAAGGGATCAAAATGCTTTGCTAGCTCACATAAAAAATGGGTGAAATAGACTGTAAGCAAATATCCCTTCAAGAGATAAGACATTCTGCAGTCACATTATAATGCTGGGAAGCAATCATTTGAAAATCACTGTGTTGAATGTTTGATAAGAGACCAAAACCTTATTTGTATATAGTGGTTCTTTTGTATTTATGTTTGTTGCATATTTGTCACCAGCATTTTTATAGAAAATGTAACAATTCAATTCTTCTTTCATGGAGCCCATAAACCTAGTGAAATGTAAAGGAATGTCTGCACATGGGAATAGTTTTCCCCACTCATGCCCAGTTTAAGAGCACTTCTCCTTTCCTTGACTTTTCTTTTATTGCGTTTTCTAAGAGGTTAGAGTGCAGATGTTCACACTGCACAGGGAATGTTGTAGGGGCTTGTGGTTGACATTAGCCTTGGCCTTGTTCATGATATGGCCATCAATCACTCTTCGTAAATCTAATTCATTATTACAGCCATACACGTTTTGTCTTAAACCAGCCCTGAAATGTTGTACGGCCGTGTTGGATTACACCCAGCTGTGTGTGCGACACATCGCTGCTGCAGCTTCAGATGTTTTCAAACTGAACAAACATGTTCCATAAATCTCAGATTCCAAAATGTTCACATGTGGATAGAAAGCTACATTTACTTGTTTGGAGAAGTGCAAATTGGATATTAGGGTGTATGTCTAACCCTAACAGACCAAAGACAAACAAATGAAAGAACAAAAGGTACTTACAAGTTAACCAAAACAAATTCAGGATGAAATGGATTGATGCCTGGGGAAACAAAGTGCCAAATCCAAATGTACACATGAAATGTGTCTTTACTTTAATAATAGACTGTGAAATGTAAGAAACATCAAATGTCTTTTCTTTGTTACATTTTAAGAAATTGTGAATTAAAAACTATGACAAGGGTTCAGTGTGAAATGTTATTATTGACCTGAAACAGCAGTTTGACCATCCATTTCTTAACCTATTGTGCACGTACTAGCTTTTGCAGGGGCTTCTAACAAAATCTCACCGTCTTCATGAGGGGGAGAGGTTTGGTCAGTGGTTATTGAGATTGTTCAGAAACATAGGGATTGCCATCACCTCGGGGAGACTGTGAAATGTGAATGAAAGGTCAAAAAAAGGTAGGAAGATTCTGGAGTTACATTTAATGTAGGCCTAAAGGGTTTAGCTTTGTGCACAGATAGACCTCAAAGGGGTCTTTAGCACCTGCCCTTTTGCCCTCTTGAGAATGTACTTTAAAAAAATGTTTAAATCAATGAACTTGCCTATTAAGCTATAAAAAGAAATGTAAAACCTGTGTCTAATACACATGATCTAAAGCTTATGTTTTGCTTTCCTAATGTTGTGCCTATTTATGACTTATATTTACCTAGTTTGTTAGCACATAGTAAAAGTATATTAGCCAATCAAATCAGCATCTTCTTATGGCCCGTTATTTCTGAGGCGTAATCTGAATACCTTTACTGAGGAGGTGGTACACTTCATTTGTTTGCATGCAGCATTAATGAACTGTTGTGTAGCAGTGTTTTAACCAACACCCCACTTAGGTTTGTTTTCAATACATAGATTTTAATATCCCTTCAAACTGTCAAAGAAGTAGTTAGAATAGATTTATGAAAAGGTAATGCCACATGCCAATATTTTTTAATTTGGGCCCCTGCCCTTCTAACATCTTTTGCACATGCCCGGCTGTTTTTCATTGTGTACGGTTTACACCGCTGCTCTGGACTTTTAAAGTAACACTTCCTGATAGATATATTATTGTTATTCATCTTTATAGAGAACCAGCTGTGAATTTAAAAGCAGTCACCATCTCAGAAACGTGGATGAATGAACGTGGGTGAAGGTTGGTGTGTGTGTGTGGCAATAGGGATACAGTAATTTAAAAAATGACCATGACCCCCCAAAGGCCTTCAGTGTGGAGAAAGGGTTTTACGGAGAATACATCAGGATGCTGGATCACAGCCCCCACCCCCGGCTGTAAAGGAGCATTGTGACTGCATGGACTAATGGAATGTGCTGATCAAAACCAGGTTCTGGCTCTGCGAGTGGCTCTCAGAGGGGGTCTCACTCTCACTTCTCTCTTTGTCTCCTCCCCCCTTCTGACCCGTTTTCAACACTGTCATTCCTTCTGAAGCTCTCAGTATACAGACACAATCCAGTCCTGGTGAGCTGCACAATCCTGAGATCTTCAGTAACCCTCTCCTAAACATCATGACGTCAGTCCAGCTGATGTATATTACTGTATGTCAAGATGCAAAGTTGAATTCTGTTTAACCCTCCTGTCGTGTTTGTTTCCCTTTACTTAGGTGTTCCTGGTCAAATGTGACCGGTCTGTTTTAACTGCTCCTACATTAACACAAAAGTATTAATCATCACCAAATGTTATTTAACAACCTTTGCAGCTGTAAACAATGTCTCAGACAGGTTTACATGAATAACTGCAGTGAGTATACAAAGAATAGACAATGAAAATATATGTTTATTTGTGGTGTGTACTGATGTGATGGATGAACATAATCTGGGGTTACCCATTCATTTCCTATGGGATACTTTTTTACTGGGAACATCATAGGTGTTACAAAGTTGACTAAACCTCAAAATTCAATGAAAATGGTGAACAGCAATTTAATATGTTGAAATACCTACTGTGACGGATATCATAAGGACTTGAGGCAATCAGACATACAACACAATATTTATGATTGATTGCTCAGATTTGACCCAAACATGACAGGAAGTGGTATTGTTGGTGTTTAATCCGACATATATATTATCCATAGTAAATAAATGTGTTCACCAAGGTATGGTGATATCACAAAATAAAAGTCTGTCAGGACAACAAACACATCTGGATAAACAAGTCAAACCTACCTGGATAGAAGGCTAACTTTTTATTTTTCACAACTGCCTGTGTCATCAAAGTTTACAGAACCACTTCCTGATTTAACCTTGACCTACTGTCCTTCCGATGCAATGAAACGGGATTACCAAACAGGAAGAGCGACTCCTGGGTCAGGGGCTGCAGATCCAGGTGCACAGAGCCTCATCGGGGCACAAAGGCTGGAAGTGTACTAGTTTGTGGTAACTAAACACCTGCATGATCACCTCATTTTGAGACTAAAAGTACACATCTGGTGTTCAGGTCCTTTATGCCTTCTTTTGGATGGGTTTTTAAATCTACAGATGTACCTCCAAAAAGAGATGCTTAGTTTACCATCATATACTCCTTTCTTCTTTTCGATCAGATTTGCTGTTCTTTGTTCCTCGACCTCTCTTAGATCGTTGTAATGATGTCACAGCATTCCTAGATCTCAGCATGTACTCTGGCCAATTCAATGTTATTATAACTGATAGAAATGATGTCTACACATATACAGTGAGAGCCTATAAACCAGACGTATGATCAAAGCAAATGAAAAGCCCCATATGAGGGATGTCATTTTTGACCTCTCTCTGACTCCTGAGAGCAGCTGCACTTTGTGTGACTCACTCCATGAGGCTGGCAGATAGCTGAGAAGATACAGTATGTACAGCAGGGGTCACCAACCTTTTTTAGGGTGAGGGCTACTTTCAAAAAATAAAACAAGTCGGGGGCTACTTTTACTCCTCTTTTCTTTGTTTTTTGCAGTGTATATATTTAGCACATTTTAACATTATGATATGCTGACCTTTAACCTCTGTGTGCTGTTTGGGTCTGTGGGACCTGTTTGCAGTGTTTACTAAAAGAACATGTATGCTATTTAATTATTTTAACCTGCTTTATTTGGGGGTGGACCTCACATCCTCTAGGGGGGTCCTCACCTCCTCTAGGGGGGTCCTCACATCCTCTAGGGGGGTCCTCACCTCCTCTAGGGGGGTCCTCACATCCTCTAGGGGGGTCCTCACCTCCTCTAGGGGGGACCTCACCTCCTCTAGGGGGGTCTGGGGGCATGCACCCCCGGGAAGATGTTTTTTTAAATGTTGAAGTGAAAAGCATCAATCTGGAGCACATTGAGCACAAAATGAATTGATGGATACAGCTCTCAACACTCAGATGAAAGAGAGCTGTATACTTTTCAATAATCCAAACATCTTTAGAATATGATCACAACCAATAACAAATCATTTAAACTGGTTTATTCTTATCTTACCTAGTTAGCATTCTTTCTTTTTATTTATGCTTATTTTACTAATCACTCCCCTTTCAAACTGTTTTTTGTTTTTCTTACTGTCCTATAGTACACATTGGGATGATTTCTTACTTAGATAAAGTCTCTCTCTCT